GTGATATACTCACGAACATTAACGAATTACTTAATATTAAATTAACTACATCGGACATCAACAATATATACAGTCTCGGAAGGGGACTTGAAACACCAATAAAAATCGAGTTTATATCATATTTAAATAAACAGAAGGTGTTCCAAAATATCAAAAACTTGAAGAATACTAATGTTAGGATAAGTCATGATTATACAGATACACAACGTGAAGAAAATCGCATTTTAAGAAGATATCTGCTGGAGTCTAAAGCCAAAGGGGATACCAATCCTTACATTAAAAACGGAAAACTGTACGTCAATAATACATCACTTTCGGCTGCAGAAATAAAGTCCATTTACGAGGGAGAGACGGAAGACATAAATAATAGCCGACCTCAAAGCGATCCAGGTACTTCCTTTTCAAACTCAAATATCTCAATTTTACACCAAGATCCGGAAAAATTCGAAGAAGTTACGGTACAGTCAGAAACTCTACACTCTAAAAATATTAATATCAGTTCCAAACACAAACCGACCCTCAGAACGAAATCAAACCAAAGTACATCAGCTGAACCAAATCCTAAGGAGAGTAAAACCCATATTGGACTCAGAAACAGAACCGGATCTACAGGAAAATAAATTTATAGCCTTTTGTTATTCCTTTTTACTTCTGTATTTGTACTTTTTTACCATTTATATTAGTTGGTGTTTATATTAATTGGTAACATATTAATGTATTGGTGTTTGTCTTTTACTTAACAATAATTATTCTAATCATATTTTAAATGAGAAACTAGTTTATAATTAATACTCCTTCGCATATATTTATACTGCTTCTTCTTAGTTGTAGCATTGATCTTTGATAGCTGATTTTGATTTTGTTTATTGTTTACGCAGACGTTTGCGTCGATATTTTCTTAACTATACCCTACTTTTGTACTCAGTCAGTATTGTACTAAGTCATTGTTACAAGATATTTGATATTTTTATTTTTTTCTTTTTCTCTGTTTTTTTTTTTTAATTATGGATCAATATGTAAGAGATTTTGATTTGCCCACTGTTGATACATACACTGTAAAAAACTTTAGTGAATGTGATGATATCTTACGGGTAAACCAATTTAACAACAACTTTACTCTACTTCATAATAATATTAGAAGTATTTCCAAAAACTTAGATGAACTTAAGCTACATATAACTGATATTACTACAAGTTTTGATGTAATTGTTTTAACTGAAACATGGAAAATTAATGATATTAATTTGTTTAACATACCAGGCTATAACGCAATATATAATAAGGGAGAATTAAATCAAAATGATGGAGTTGTGGCATACATACGGTGCAAATATCTTTTCACCTACGATATCGTAAAATTAGGACCAACCAATATTTTAAAAATTAAATTAACTATTGATAATAGCTATACAATTATGGTTTTTGCGTTTTATCGATCACCCTCTAAGGAAAACTATAATTCGAGTATTTCTGAATTTATTAATAATTTACAACATTTTTTACACAACAATGCTACCAATTCTGAAAGTTACTGTCTCTTTGTTGGAGATATTAACATTGACCTGTTGAGTTTAAACGATGATACCATGGAATATACAAGTACTCTGAGTGAGTGCGGATTTACATCCATTATAAATAACCCAACTAGAATAACAGCTTGTTTAGATCATATATTTGTAAAATCAAAAACCAATATCTTGGAGAATATTATTCCTCTAGTAATAGAAACTGACATAACAGATCACTTTGCAATAGCATTACAAATAGTTTTTAGCAAAAAAACAACTAAAAAGACAAATGACTATTATGCTAAACGAATCAACTACAAGAGGCTAATAGATATTATCTCTAAACAATCTTGGGACTTTATCCTAAAAAATAGTAGCCCGGATTTAGCAACAGATCAATTAATAACAGTTATCCAGCAAAATATTAACAAATGTACGTATTATGAAAAAAGGAAAAGGAAAAACACAAAAATTACACCGTGGATTACAAAAGCTTTAGTAAAATCCGCTAGTGAAAAAGATAGACCGTATCGACTAACGAAGCTTCATCCGAATGACCATGATTTACTGCTAAAATATAAAGCATATAGAAATAAACTGCATTCACTTATGAATAAAACAAAACGGAATTATTATAAAAATAAGATTTTAGAGAATTCAAATAGCAATAAACAATTGTGGAGTGTAGTGCAAGATCTTAGTGGTACTAAAAAAGGAAAAATGCCTATCGACAGTCTTAAAAACCAAATGGGAAAGATATTGACTCATCCCTCCGATATTGCAAATGAATTTAATAAGACGTTTTCGGAGATGGGCAAAATATTGGCTGAACAAATCATTAGCAACTCCCGCCAGGTATATGATAATACCTCCTTGGCAAACTCAATGATTTTACTACCTACAAATACATTTGAAATGAAAACAATAATAAATCAACTGAAAAGTAAAAAGGCTACTGGCATTGACGATATTAATTCAGAATGTCTGAAAACAATTTCACCATACATACTCGAACCATTGGTTCACATTTTCAATATATGTATGGAAGAAGGAATATGGCCCAAAGCCTTCAAAACATCAGTAGTCATACCAATATACAAAAGTGAAGACAAAACTCTTGCTCTAAACTACCGACCTATATCGCTTATTCCACACATGTCTAAAATATTTGAATTATTACTTAATAATAGACTTACAGCATACATCAAAAAGTATAATTTAATTTCTGCTAACCAATTTGGTTTTAAGCTAAATACTTCCACACAAGATGCCGTTTTGAATCTAACATCAAAAGTGTATGAAGCTCTCAACAATAATAAAGTTTGCTTATGTGTATTTCTAGATTTGGCCAAAGCTTTTGATACTGTCAGTCATAGTAAACTCTTACAAACCTTAGAGAAAGTTGGTATAAGAGGCAACTGTCTTCAACTATTCAGAAGTTACCTATCTGAGAGGCAGCAGGTATACTTTTTCCAATGTCAGTTTGCCAAGCATCGGCTTTTGAGATTCTTTGATGCCAATGCCGACCATTGGCGTGGAAATTAAGAAAAGGGATCAGTTCATCAAACGCATATTTCAAGAAAAATAATATTAAATGTTTTATTAATTTTTACATAATTATATTCAGGAAAATTTCTCAATTTTTGGGCAGAAATTGTTTAAACAATGTTTTAAACAAATTCAAAATATCACCTTTTGTGCTCCAAAAAATATTTTTTAGGTTTTACTCTAAATAAGATCTATGACATTTTTCTCAAAAGTTAATAGTTTTGGAGATATAGGCGATTTAAAATCCGAAAAATGCGATACCTAATATGCATTTTCGCATTATCTTTAAAAAATTTGCTCTATCAACATGTATGACTGTGTAAAATTTCAAATCTGTATGTATTTTGATAGCTGATATATAGAGGTGTCTTCATCTTAAATGCGACACACTGTGTAATAACGAATACTAGTGTTCAAGATGCATCGCGATAGCTGTAAAGAAATTAATTAGAAGGACTAAAAAGAATCGTCAGAGTCTTCTGAAGTCGAATCGTTCCCAGGTTGGATAACTATTGGTGTTATTGCCGGTAAAACAGGATATTCGTTTTCTATTTTTACAACATGAGCTTCGCAATTTTTGCACACATCGCTATTAATGCCACTAATTACTTCTCGAATATTCTCAATGGCCACTGCGCTTAATGTTGGTGACTGATTATATTTTCGCAATCGTTTTTTTACGGTACCCCAAACCATTTCAATTGGATTAAAAATGCAATAGTATGGGAGTAATCGCAAAAGAGTATGGCCGTGCCTGCTGCAAATGGTGTCAATAACGTATTCGTTTTTAAAATTCCGACTTTTGATCATTCTAATTAATTCTTTCTTTACTGGAATCTTTTTAGGAACAGTGATGTTTTTAAGTTGCATAAATTTTAAAATTTCGTCCTTTTTCGTGTTATTATTAGGTATTTTATTTAATATGCGGGATAACAATCACTGAATTCGGCGGAATATTGGGCTAGAGTTGTTCAACAAACCACTTTTCAAATAAATCGGCTGTCATATCTTCATGATAATCGGCAGAATACTTTGTTATATTTTTGGCCGACAATAGCAATGCATTAGATACAAAACCATCTTTGCTTCCGGTATGAAGAATAATAACACGTTTTCCTCGTGAACACGGTGTATTTAACGCACACTTGTTTGTGTTGTCAACCCAGCCGTACTTGACAACATCATGCGTATCGAACCAGGTTTCGTCTAAATAGATTATCTTTCTGTTTGAATTACGATACTGTTTTATTTTACTCAAATACTCTCGTCGAAGTTCAACAATACGCCGAGATTCCATTATTACCATTCGATTATCTAATTTCTTATATTTAAATCCACAACTTATCAAAATCTCGCGCAGTGTTTCCAAAGATGTATAATTATATTCAGGGAAATCCCTCAATTTTTCACGAATCAGTTCTAAAGTAGGCACTCTATTTTCTTTGTAAAAATTGTAAACTGTTCGCTGAATAACGTCTTTTGCAGCAATGTCAATCCTACCCAATTTTTTATTTGGTCGCTTTCGTTTTAAGGAATGATCTGTAACAGTGCCTAATTTAATAATTGTATATATCGTCTGATACCCGATTTTTGTTAATACATGAATTCTCGAAACAATTGCATTATCAGCCATCCCAATATTTTCTTTTTTCAAACACTCATACATATTTAAAACTATTCATTGGGATTGTACGTGCAAATCTTTATTTTTTAATTCGGGGCTGTCATTAACATAATTGTCATTATTTGAGGGGCTCGGCAGTAAATAATGGTAACGGACAAATTTTGATTTTTCCCGAAATATTATGTAAAAGATGGCAAGGGACATGGCAACGCAGAAAACTTGACTTATTTTATCCTCCGAATAATAGGTGGCGTCAGATTAATTTCTTAAAATTTGGTAAGGGACATGCATAAGCATGAAAATAATGTTATGTGTCCATGATGGCGGAATACAAAGCAGGTTGTTCAAATCTAAATGACTTTTTTGATGTTAATAGTGACAATTCTGAGAGCTATGATGATTACGACTCAGATAAAGATCCTGAATTTCAAATATTTAGTGAAGCTAGCTCGATTAACTTTCTACAAAGAAGGTAATTTATTTATATTCTTAGAATCATTGTTTGCAAGTAAAAAATGGTAAAGGATGTACTTAACATTGTTTACATCCACATTCACTTTGCATAAAAACTTAACATTTTTTACTTGCAAATATGAAAATGAATTCTCTGCAGCACTATAATACTTAATATTATTTTTATTTATGTTTTAGAAAACTTTTGAAAGAACATGGACTTCAAGAAATTTCTTCTCACACATACCCAGAGTCCAGTACTGAAGAAGAAGAGGAGGAAGAAAAAGAAAATAGAGGAGAATTAAATGAACACAGTAAACAAGAAAAAGAATATTCTGTTTCAGACACAAAATCTAGAAAAAGGAAACGCAATTTAAGTAAGCAATTAAAAACAAAAGAGCTCAGAAATCGCGGAAAAGAATATAAACAATACAGAGGTAAGGGAAATATTGTTTTATCAAAAACACAAGGTCCACCGTGTAGTTGCCCCAATAAATGCTATGAGTTATTTGCTTCTCATGAAGAACTACAGACAATTTTTGTTAATTTTTGGGGCATGAACAGTTTTGATACACAAAATGCTTACTTACAAGGTTGTATGAGATCTAAAAATGTGACTAGGAAGAAAACTAAAGCACTAGTGTCAAAAAGATCTCAAACTATTGAATATAAATTAAAATCACAAGGGAAAGATGTTAAGATATGCAAAATGGCTTTCCTAAGTATCCATGGCTTACAGAAAAATCGAGGTCGAGTTGAAAATCTAGTAAAACAATTAAAAACTGGATCAAATACTCCAAAATCAGATCTAAGAGGTCGACATTCAAATCATCCTAAAAAATATTCCAATTCTGATATAGATTTTCTGAAATCTTTTATTGAAAGCTTACCTAAGTACAAAAGCCATTACACCCGTGCTGACAGTTCTAGACAATATATGAGTATGGAATATTCTATTCAGACTTGTTATGAGAAATATGTAGGAGAATGCATTTTGAAAAAGATAACTCCAGTTTCTGCAGATAAATTCAGAAGAATATTTACTGAAGAATATAATATAAGTTTCAAAACTCCGAAAATGGATACATGTCAAGCATGCGATAAGTTTTCAGTAGCTTTAGAAAATGCTAAGTTACACAATGATGAAACTGAGGTTAAAAAAATTAAAACTGAACAAGAATTACATCACAGAAAAGCTGAAGCAGGTCAACAGGCAGTCAGAGACGCAGTAGAGGAAGCAAACTTAAACCCAGATGTGCATGCAATTAGTTTTGATCTACAGCAAACCCTTCCCACACCAAAGCTTACCACTGGTCCCATGTTCTATAAGAGAAAATTATGGTGCTATAATTTAAGCATACATTCCCTTGGAGATGGTCAGGGTCACTTTTTTATGTGGGATGAATCCACTGCTAAAAGAGGGTCGGACGAAATAGCTAGCTGTCTCAAAATGTACTTTGAGAAAAATAATATTCATGGCAGAAAACTAATAGCTATTTCAGACAATTGCTGCGGACAAAATAAAAACTGGACCATCATTGGTCTTTGGCTATATCTTTTACAAAATGACTATTTTAAAGAAATAGTTCATATATTTCCTCAGGTAGGACATACAATGTTGCCAAGCGACAGAGACTTTTCTGTTGTAGAAAATTATGTCAAGAAAAACTGTGAAATGGTATATTCGCCCAATCACTGGGAAGATATTTTGAAGAAGTGTCAGAAAAAGAAACCTTTTCTAGTAACTAGGGTCCAGCAAGAGGATATATACGATTGTTCAGTACTGAAAAGCTATTTTAATCAACCGGTAGGTATTTTACAAAGTAGTGTGAAATTATGTCTATCTTCAGAAGTTCCCAGAAATATACAATATTCAGCATCATACAACGGATTATTTAATTCCATGTCCTTGAATAAAAGAGGAAGACCAACAGCTACAGAAGAAAAATTTCCTACACTTACTCAAAAATATAATCATCCCCTTAGTATTCATTCAGAAAAACTGAAAGATGTAAAATCATTCTTGGAATGGATTCCAGCTGTTTATCACGAATGGTATATAAATTTAAAATAACCTCCTAGTACCTACCAAATTATGTTATGTTAAGTCAACACCACTTAACATGTTACGTTAAATTTTTCAAATATTTTAGGTAAATAATGTTAAGTTGTAGTACATATTTTCATATTTTCCTCAATAAACATTGTAAAAAAAATATTTGGTATTTCATATTTTGCCTCCTGATTAACAACATAATCAGCTAATTTTAGCATTATTCATAGTTTTATATTTTTTAATAAAAAATATAACAATATTTTTTTTTAAATTCAACACTTCAAAACTCAAATCTTCTTTATTGTCCCTTACCATTTTTTACTGCCGGACCCCTCATTTATTGATAACACAGAAGTTGATGCATCTTGATCATTCATATCAAATGGTCTCCAAAATGCCATCCTAGAAAAATATAATATTACTTACCTTATAATAAGCCTCCGCCTCTGATTGCTGGTTGCAAAATGAAATATTTTAGGGTGTCACTTAGCGAGACGAAACAGGTGTTCATTACGATTTATGGCTTTGCGCTTCGCTGTTGCCATAATGCATGAGTTTAAAATTAGTGAATGTAACTTTAATACCATATTAATATATCTGCAATTTTTCATGTTTCCAGGTAAGGTATAAAATCAATGAAATTTGGAAAAAAAATAATACAATTCTTGAAACCGTTTTTGAGAACTTGGATTCTTAAAAGTTGTCTGATTTCTTAAAAGTCGATCATTATATCTATAAGAGTATTACCGCTAAATTCACCAACATGGCAACGTCGATATAGACCCAACGTCCAAATTCTCTCCAGACTACAATGTTGCCGATATTCGAAAATTACTTAGAGTATAAGTAATATATACAAAGTTCACGGTTGCTTTAATTCATTAGTGAAGAGTCCATGGGAATATTAGTACCTAGTTAATTAATTTATAGATATATTTTTTGAGAATATGTTCATATTATTTTTTAAGAGTGTCGTTAGAGAATAGGGAATATTTTTTAAATATAACCTTAGGAATTTTAGGAAATATGTCTGACAACCTTGATTTGAAAGGCGGTCTCTTTGATACCAGAATGAGGCATGTTTATGTTGGAAAATTATTAGTGGATGTACTATAGTAAGGGTTTCCGAAACAATAAGCGGACAAAGAGGTATAACCTATGGAGTGCCTCAGGGAACAGTGTTAGGACCTGTCTTATTTAATCTATATATAAATGGTTTATTTTCATTGCAAAGTACAGGGCATATAATTGGGTTTGCTGATGACACGGCTATTGTTTATGAAGCCGATAACTGGTATGACTTAAAAATAAAAGCAGAAACTGATCTACAATTCATAAAAGACTGGTTTGATTATAAAATACTTACAATAAATTTTAAAAAAACTGTTTATTTACCAATTTCTAACTATACCCCTAATATTGATCTATTCGAACCTCTTCGAATAACACATAATAAACACAATTCTTGCATCAAACCAGTAACGAATGTTAAATATTTAGGTGTTATAATAGACACACACCTAAAATGGGATTGTCACATTAAATACGTTATTAAAAAGTTACAGTTTATCCTCTATAAATTTAAGCACCTAAAAAAACACATACCGGATATATACCTTCGCACACTATATTATGGATTAGTAGAAAGTCATCTCCGTTATGGTATACTGGCTTGGGGAAGCGCCCTAAAAACTCACATTCTCCCACTAGAAATCATGCAAAGAAGATTTCTGAGGATAATTATGGCTAAACCCTACACTTGTTCTACAGATAGACTATATAAGGAGAGCAAAATATTTGACTTAAAGCAGTTATACTTTCTTTGTATATCTGTAAAATTTCACACCATGAAAGTTAAAAGCAACTTACCTTCACATGGATATCATACTAGAGGCAAGCACCTCTATATGGCTCCAAAAATGACGAAATCTTTCTGTCAACGATCTTTCTTATTTTTAGCCCCTAAAATATACAATCATATTCCCCTTAATATTAAAAATACGAAGAATGTCTTTCTCTTTAAAAATAAATTAAGATTATATCTCATGGAACAGACAAGACATTTTTGTAATATCATTATAGTAGCATAAGTTATAAAGCCATATTCACTTAAACTTTCTTAAAGAAAAAACTTTAATTTTAAATCTACTCCTTTCAAAGATATTAAAAAAAAAAAAAAATATATATCGTGTTGTTTTTATTGTTTTATTTAATGTGTTTATCATATTTATATTGAAGCATGTGTGTTTACACTTATGTCCTTTCAAAAATCTTGTTAACTAATTGATTCATACATAAGTGCTGTATTCATATCAAGGGTTTCTACTAAAATTTTAATTATAGTTATTTTATGATTCAAAAAGCAGTATATATTATTGTATTGTATACATTGTATTGTTTATTTTATTTAGCATATTTACCAGAACATAATTTGTGTATTTGCAGATCTCGTTAAAAACTTATTAGTATCTAAGTTTAATTTTATTATACATCTTTGATTATTGTATCTAAATTTTCAATCTGCTTGTTTTTTTATGGTTATATTTATATTATATGTATGTGTATTAATATATATGTGTGTATGTATGTATATATGTGTATGTATATGTATATATGTATGTATATATGTGTATATGTGTACATGTGTGTATGTATGTGTATGTGTGTATATGCATATGTGTGTGTATATATGTGCGTATATATTTATACTTTAGTATACTATATTGTATTTTTATTTATTATATGTTACATTTACCGAAACAGGTGTCCCCACACCTCTCGGAGACCTACGGGTTAATTTATTCACATATTGTTAATTATTGAAACAAATTTTGTATGATTGTTGAATAAATTATTATTATTATTATTATTACTTCTACCGGCAGTCCCACTGAACTGCCACACCCGTTTTTTTTACAAAATTGCAATCACAGTTAACTTTTTTAAATTTAGATATTTTGATATAATAACAAACCAAATAAAGATATTTTGGTTTGGTGACAATTCTATTTCACCTATAATCTGAGCATATACAAATTATATTTTATAAATAATATGATTATAACGGCAAATAGCACCGCTACTGATAAGCTAATAAATAGTTGTTTCTTTACAAAATTGTATTCCAATTATTGCATAAGGTTAATTCAGGCAATATTATTTTAATTATTGAAACCTATTTGTATAGTTGTTAGTGTCTAATTAATAAAAACAAATGTAAAACATAAACGTTTTATGGCACTGAAACTAAGCCAATTAGCCAGAATAAATGAGTAAAAGTTATAAGGAAAATGCTTCAGGTAAGTATAAATTTTCACATAATGCGTATTTAAAAATATATTTATTTAAAATTGTAAATTTTTAACATATCTGTTTGATACGTAATAAACTGAAGATTTAGATTTTTTTTTTCTTCAGCTGTTTTTGTCCTTCAGCTATGACCTGTTCTCTAGCTGCAATCTGTCGTGTGTCACGATACAGCAGATATCTTGTCCTATATTAATGACCAGAATTGTTGGTTATTATACGACTGATTATACCGGTCAGTCATCTCTCAGTTGTACTCTTCCAACTGTCCCATGGTGACAGTTGTCGAATATGAGGAAGTTGATGGTCTCGAGGAACAGGAAGTCGATGGACCCGAGGAAGAGGATAATCCATCAAACGGCTCCAAGAAATCTTAACTGTCAAGGTTAGTCAAATCAATCTAAAACAAAAAGTACATTAGAATCATCTATTTAAAATTAAGACAAAATGTAAAAAGCTCCTAGACAAGGTTAAATAAAATAGAAAACAAAGAAATAAAATACTACAAAACAAAAGAAAATACTACAATAAAATAAAAATACTACATTAGGCGAAACTGTTTTCTTGTGATATATATATATATATATATAGTCACTAACGCCCTTTCTAAGAATATATATACCCTAGTAACACACGACGTCCTATGGACGTCCAATATACGTCCAGTTTTGGTCCGGACGTCCCTGGACGTAAAATGGACGTACTATGGACGTACGAAGTGGGACGTACTTTGGGTGGACCAAATATGGACGTTCTCTGGACGTCCGTACTCGGACGTTCCCTGGACGTCCATACTCGGACGTTCCCTGGACGTCCGAACTCGGACGTTTTCTGGACATCCGACATTTACCAATTATGGGATCAAATAGCAAATATTTCAATAAAATAAAAAATTATTTACGTTAATAAAATAATTAAAAGCGAAAAGGTTAAATCACAATTAATTAAAAATTGTATAGTTTAATATATCCAAAACATGTTTTTGTTTTTAGGTAAAGTGTAAAAATCTTTTATTTCTAGATAATTCGTTACAATTGTTTTATTATTCTAGTTATTAAGATAATTATATATGTTTGCTAATTCTAATAAGTAAAAATATGATTTTTATCGACAAGATGAATCTTGATAATCTTTTCCACAGAATTGTCTCTTTTGTCTTTTCAAAGACAAAATAATGAAAAATAATGATGTGATATGACATGTGATGATTGATGAAATTAATTGTCAATATTGTCATTGTCATGTCATACCTATTTAATTTAAACAAATGGCACAGTTTAATATGAGTTTAATCATATTATTATTATTATTGCTTTAATAAAAGAAATAAAATAACTCTATTTAAGCAGTGTACAGTGCATTGGTCTTTTTTAAAATAGTGCATGGTTAAAAGTTTGGTACCATTTTGGTTAGGTTATTTCCGAATTTGGTTTTTATTTTATTACAAAAAGGTAAGTAATTTTTCTTAAAATTGTTTATGTTTAAAAGTAAACGATTTGTTTCTAAGCGTCATCAACAGAGGAAGGTTACGAAAAACGTAGAGAATATTGTTGAAAATATTAATAACCCCCATATTCCGTCTTCTTCAAACCTTTTCGGAATCACTAACTGATAATTTTGACGAGAGTTTCAGTTCAAATATGTAGTTCTGGTTACAATACTTCCGATTTAAACTTTTTATTAACATGTTAAGTGCTTAAAATAATCCAAATTACCACGTGGCCGACCATTCCAATGATACTTTACAAAGCTTTTTTTTTCAATGAAACTGAAGAAGGGTATAAATAGGGTTGTAACGAGAATTCTGGAGAACCTTATCGAGATGTTTTTAATTGTTCTAATAATTTATTCAACTGGACTTTGTCCTTTAATACTAGGTGATTTATTAAAAAATTATAAAGAAGTTCCCGATCTTTCTCATTTAAGTTCAGATGCTAGAACCCTTCTTTTGCTTCACCCAGAGAACAATTACTCTGATCCATATGATTCAAATTTCAAACATATTTTTATCTTCACAATAAAACAATGTTATAGAAATGTGTGTAAATTTTGATGGAATCTCATTAAAAAAGAGTTTTAGTAGTCAGTTTTATCGTAGTTTGTATAATTTGTTGATATATCCTAAAATTGTAAATTTAATAGACATTTACCATGGTTATGAGAAACCAAAATTTGCAAATGAATGTTTGTTTGATTTTTTAACAGAGCCTGTTTTTTTTATTAGATAGTTTAAACTAAAATAATTAAGCATGGATGATCAAGTTTGTGGGGTAGTTAGATTACTGTTACATGTTGATTTATATTTTAGGATAATGAGCTTTCCAAAATTGGTGAGGAAACCATAAACGAATTTGTTAGGAGAAGCCATAAGAAGCTGGTCTGCAATAAAATTCAAGGAAAATATAGTTGGCTAGGGAAAAAGCAATATAAAACTTTTGAAGACACACATATAGCTGTGATTTTAAAAGGTTTGTAACTGTTAAACATAAATCAATCTAAGGAACATTTAAAAACTTACACTATCACTTAAGTGACCATATACAGCCGATGAAGCATATCATTAACTGTGTCTTATATGTAATTTAGATGGCAAATTTTACCATTTCACAAACGTTCAGGTCTAGCTATGAGATTGCTTTAAGAACTACACTTAGCTATATGAGATGAAGGTTTGTTGTTGGCTGTATATATTTTATTTATACACTGTTATTTTTGTTTTTTAAGTATCAAAGTGTAATTACTGCTCATTTGGTCATTAGAAATAAATACCAATGGTTTTGTTGGTATTCTTCTAGTTCAGGTGAGATCCATTAAAACTGCAGCACTTGAAATTCAGTTGTTTAATCATACGCCTTTGAATGATGATTTATTTACAATAAGCAAAGTATAATGAACTAAATCTGAAATTAATTTGTTCAATTTATTACATTACATTATAGTACATTAATTTTGTTTTCAGATGCTGCCTGAAAAAACTCCAAGACCAGTGTTGCCATGGAGAAGGAAATTGAAACTTGATAATGAAATATCTGAGATGTAAAGAGGAGGCAAATAAAATTTAATTTGCATGTTGCATTAGCAAATATGATTAATTTTGTAATGATTAAATTGTGTGGTTGGTGCACAGAAAGGAACAGTCAATTTTTGAGACTGTTTTATTTATTAAAAATAGGTACCTAAAACAGTATCTACTGCTGAAACAAAACAAAGTTCCATATTAAGTATTGATCTTTTTCATACTTATGATTTCAACTTTAAAACTCAACAATTAACTTGTCTGCTTTCAATTGCTGATCACACACTTGTAAGGTAAATCAGAATGGGAATGGATAAGGGAAGTTGAATGGTTCTGTTTTTAGTGAGCCACAGTTTCAACTATTTTGCCAATTTTTTTAGCAGTATTCACAATCCTTCTTTCTCCTGTGTAGACAGGTGTAGTCAAAGATTCCATATCAGTCACAGCCATATTTACTCTTTAACTATTAAAATTTGTGACATTCTAGCATGCTTACAGTGTCTTAATACCAATAAAGGTCTTGGTCCAGATGGAATATCGTAACTTATTTTTAAGGAATTGTGCATTCTTTTTATGAGGGTCACTTTTCATCACAATTTATTTATTGATTTTATCCATTGATTCAGCCATTAACTTATTGATTCCTAATTCACTAGGAATCTACGTTCCTGTAGTTGGCTGTATACCATGTATTAAAAATTTAATTAAAAATCCTTTGTAATAGGCATATATTTAAGGCCCAAACGGGCTAAGTTAAAAAGACAAAACGTTTTCGGAAACCATGTTCCATCATCAGTGTCTATGTACTGAGAAGCCAAGTTGACCATACCGTCAAATAAAATTTACAAGGAATCTACGTTCCTGTAGTTGGCTGTATACCATGTATTAAAAATTTAATTAAAAATGCTTTGTAATAGGTATATATTTAAGGCCCAAACGGGCTAAGTTAAAAAGACAAAACGTTTTCGGAAACCATGTTTCATCATCAGTGTCTAGTCTGTCTGTGATGATGTCTGTCATCAGTAGACACTGATGATGGAACATGGTTTCCGAAAACGTTTTGTCTTTTTAACTTAGCCCGTTTGGGCCTTAAATATATACCTATTACAAAGGATTTTTAATTAGATTCCTAATTATCGTTCCATTATAATTCTTTCTACTATTCCTAAAATTTTAGAGGCTTTACTGACTGATTTTTTGACAATAAATCTGAAGAATCAGCTTCATATTGGTCAGCATGGTTTACTTACTGTCTAGTTGTTCAACTTCTACTAATTTACACTTATTATGTTATAATTGCATTAAAAAACATTTTTTATGTCGATTAGATTTATACTGACTTGTCGCATCTACTGTTCTTGCAAATTGTGTAGACCATATTCTTATTCGGGTATGATCAATTTCTTGAATCTGGATTCTCTTATCAAAAGTGTTACCTTTTAATCTTTATTTTTAAACTTGTTCATAAAATAACCAATCTCCTGAATTGCTTCAGCTAGTTTGTTTTAATATTCCTCCCATTCACTGTGTCAGTATTTATATTTCCATGTTCCTTACTGCAGAACTAATTATGATTCACACAGAGATATGGTCTGAAACTTTTGTATCAATAAGTTTAGGTACTATTTGAAGCACTAAAATGCTAAATGAAACTTTTTATAAATGTGTACCTATTTATTCATGTATGTTTTATTTTTATCTGTAATTTAGTGTATATTTCTATAATGTTCCATTTTTGTATAATTTTGACAGTGAATTTGTTCCATTTGTTATGAATAAATAAATATATGTAATAATAAATGTTAGTTCCTTTAAACATTTATGTTTTATTACTAAAAATTATTTTATATTTCTATAATGTTGCATTTTTGTATAATTTGGACAGGGGATTTGTCCCATTTGTTAATAATAAATAAATGTAACAATAAATGTAAGTTCCTTTAAACATTTACGTTTTATTTCCCAAAATACATTCTTAATATGCACAGGATGACACCACTTTTAGTATTTTATACAATGGCGTTGACGTCTAATTTATATCGTCAGCACTAAAATAGACGTCCGAGAACATCACAAAAGTCCGTCAAGTAAGTCCTCCGGACGTATTATGGACGTCCGATTAAGGTCCAATTAACGTCCCGTTACGTCCAACTAACGTCCGCTCGGGACGTAAAATGGACGTCCATAGGACGTTCGGCGCAGCGACATTCGGACCAATATAGGACGTTAAACGGACGTAAATAGGACCAAAGCGGACGTCCGAGGGACGTCAAAGTCCGTGAGGGACGTACTATGGACGTCCATTGGACGTACGTGTGCTATTAGGGTATATATATATATATATATATATATATATATATATATATACACTTTGTTATATGAGATTGTAAACGCTCTTTCGGAGAGCCCTCAGGGAAGTGGGTAAAAGAATGATTATCAATAAATCAATATATACTTCGATTGTTACTTTTGTATTTATTAAAGATTTTCTTTTCAAAATCAATTTAAAATCAATAGTTGAACAATAAAGTGAAAAGGTTAATTAACAAGTTCTTATAACCACTGCAGTGGGGTTCTAATTACAGTGTCGTACCAAGAAAATTGAGAAATTTAGTGTAATGTTCGATTCTACCAAAATTAAGAATAAATTTCCACTTAGCTGTTAGAAAGTCTATCTTCTTGAGTTCTGGAGACTCGATCCCAGGTGAGTACTTAATATTTATTATTGTTATTTCCTTTAATAATCCGATGTTTTAGGTTCTTTCTCTCTTATGGACAATTGGATATCATCCGATCCTAACTAATATGGAAAACTGATAGCCAATCCCTTAAGGAGTCACGAGATGATAAATATTAGTTGAAAAGATGATCAAAATGGTTTGAGATTAAATCACAGAGTAAAATAAAAAGGCCTAAAAAAATGTTATTATGTTTAAAACGTAAGTAGTTATTTATTTTTCCAAAAGAAAACCTACCTTTGTTCAAATGTGGCCTTAAAGTGTTTCTAATACGAAATCAGTTTATAAAATCGAGTTTCTTTTAGTTTTAGAAAACAAATCCACACGATAGGTGATAATTGCTCAGCTTCTCACTGCTACAACTATTAAATTTTCGGAAAACTATCAAGAAAACTCTAGAAAAGCCGCAAAATTGCGTTGTAAGTTCTACACGAACCAATACTTTTTCATACAAAAGACCACCAAAGAAAGGAAAAGAAAAAAATTAAAGATAAGTTTTTTTTAATCTGGCGCCGGCCATTGTCCAGTAAGAATTTATTTAAAATAAGTTGTTGTACTACTAATAGGATTGAGATCTGTTTAAAATTACAAGAAGAAGAATTCTATCAAGCTATTTTTGACATTAACCTTTAAAATAAGAAATAGGTTTTATGGTTTGTTTATTTTTAATTCAAAGTTTAATTATTCATTTAAATTTATACTTATTTTTGTTTTAGGCTGTACAAAATCAAGGAAAGAACGAATAGATCATCTCAGAGACCAAATAAGACTTGGGAATGCATTCATTTTTTATGAAATCTTGTGGGGTTAACAATTATTTAGCCAAAATAAAATAATAAAACTTTCTTTCAATAATTTATTCTGAATTCTTTGGACCTGTAACAACTTCATCTAATTTATATAACGATGCACGTCATCGGCGTCATAGCCTGTGACGTCACATGATACCAACACAAAATATTTAGGGTGTAGGTGTGTTCTTTTTTACAATCTTTTATTATATACGCGTAGAAATAATATTTAAAAATTTCTATTAATGTCAACTTAAATAAATACACAATAATATGTTTCATTTAATTTGTATAAATGCATTATAAAGCGTTTTTATCAAGAACATTTGTTCGGAACATACTGTAACTGTAATCGAACGAAGGTAAAATTTTGGCATAAATTGGTAACACTTATTTGACAGTTGCGATGTTGACACTTTTTGTACTTCATTATTTTGAATTTTAAAGTGAATATCTCTTGTTTTTTATTTTTAATTATTTAATAAAATCTGTTCTTTTTAGAACAAAATTAGTGTGTTTTATTTCAAAGATGTCACGTAAAAATTTAAATAGTCGTTGTAAAGAGATGGTAATACTTTTGCAATAATTATGTAATCTATTTGATTTAAAATGGAGTCACGATTTTTTTATACTTTGGCAACTATGTCAACTTCGATCTCTGACGTAGATAATGACGTAAGTCGTTATCTAAATTAGATGAAGTATATATATATTAGATAAGATTGAGTCACAAGTAGTGGTATAAATATCCAAACATAATGTGAATAGAAACATCCAAATCATACAAAAATCCAGAAACATGCAAAAGCAACAACAATACAGAAAATTAGAAAATAACAATAAATAGTACACAATTTACAAATAATGAATATTTGCATGAGTTTTCGGTGGCTTCGTCAAGAGCTTTTCCAATTCCGACACTGCTTTCTCT